TGGATCCCTGACCAGGATCGGCTTCCAGCATGTCCTCTGGAACTGCAGCACTGGGACATTCCTGGTCTGGACTGTTAAACCAGGTAAGTGACCAACTCAGATAATCCTCTGTCAGTTTATCGTGGTCACTTACCTGTGTTTCTCCCAATACAGAGTGTCTGAGATTGGGCGGTGCCCCGCCCCCCCGCCTGCAGTGTCCGCGAGCCACAGCTCCGCTTTTGTTTAGTTTTATTTAATAAACATTTGAACTTTCCTACTGACTGTCTCTCCTTGAATACTGGGTCCATCTGTCCTTGTTTTATGACAACTCCTGGTGAAATTATTCCCACTTCCATCCCGCTCCCATTCAGAATGACTCCCGCTCCCGCACCACTCCCATTCTTGTTGTCTTCAATAACATTTCTGCCGATACATTGAATCTGAAAGTTCTCAGCTTGTTTTGCAAATCAAACTTTTCGAAGTCAAGTTCGCCACTAACTGTTGGTCCCTCCATTGTTGTTTTTGAGCGCGGGTGAAAAACTCAGAGCGGAAGCACTGTTGGTTTTTGGGTCGTGTAGTTTTTTTTGACTCGCATTATAGTGTAGGCTTCAAGGAAAAAAACTACAAAATGGCGCCACCGTGCCAGTACTGGATTATTTTTCTTTCTATTTTATTTAATTTTTTGGCATCAATCCTAGTTATTTTTTAGGTACTATTGGTTTGCTCCCGCTCCCGTCTGCTCCCGTTAATGTTTAATCCTGTACCGTCCCAATCACCTGATCGTTACTAATACTGACTCCCAGCCCACAGGAATCCCAAGGGAATCCCGTGGGATTCCGGAAAAAATGTCAGTCTCTGTTACAGACATCCCAAGTTCCAAAAACTCATTTCAGGAAGATGCTTATCCAACCCCCCCCCGCCGTAGACAACCGACCCGAAACATACACAGACACACACACACATCCCGCAATTGTGCCTACGCAATTGCAGTAGTTCTAATCCGCACATGATGCATGAATTATTGTACTTCCTGCACGCTCTCACTCGCATAAAAAAAATACCATCTCGCATTGTCCTCACGG